GTTTTTTTTTTTTTTTTTTTTTTGTTAGTTTTTCTGAGAATTCATTGTTGGTGTATAAAAATGTCATAGATTTTTGGATGTTAATTTTATATTTTGCTACATTTCTAAAATCATTTATTAAATCTAGTAGTTTTTTTTATGGAGTCGGTAGTGTTTTCTATGTACAATATCATGTCATCTGTGAATAATGACAAATTTCCTTCCTTTTTTCTAATTTGGATGCCTTCCAGTTTTCTTCTTGTATGATTGCTCTGGTTAGGACTTCAAGAACTGTGTTCAATAAGAGTGGTGAAAGTAGACATCCCTGTCTTATTCCTGTTCTTTGGGGAAACGGATTTAGTTTTTCGTTTTCTATGTATGATTTTTGCAGTATGATTTTTGCAGTATGATTTTGCAGTATGCAGTATGGCCTTTATTATGTTGATGTAAGCCCTCTGTTCCCACTTTGCTGAGAGTTTTCATCAAAAAAGGTTGTTGAATTTTGCCGAATGCTTTTTCTGCATCATTTGATATGATCATGTGATTTTTGTCTTCCAATTTGTTTATGTGGTGTATCACATTTATTAATTTGCGAATCTTGTACCAGCCTTGCATCCCTGGTATAAATCCCACTTGGTCATGGAGTATGTTCTTTTTAATGTATTGCTGGATTCAACTTGCTAATATTTTGTTGAGGTTTTTAGCATCTATGTTGATCAGGGATATTGGCCTGTAATTCTCTTTTTTTGTGGGGTCTTTATCTGGTTTTGGGATTAGAATAATGGTGTCTTTATCTGGTTTTGGGATTAGAATAACCCTGGTATAAATCCCACTTGGTCATGGAGTATGTTCTTTTTAATGTATTGCTGGATTCAACTTGCTAATATTTTGTTGAGGTTTTTAGCATCTATGTTGATCAGGGATATTGGCCTGTAATTCTCTTTTTTTGTGGTGTCTTTATCTGGTTTTGGGATTAGAATAATGGTGTCTTTATCTGGTTTTGGGATTAGAATAATGCTGGCCAGGTTGTCCAGCTTGCTGGAATATAGTTGTTCATAGTATTTTTTTTTTTAATGATCTTTTGTGTTTCCTGGGGCAGTTGTTACTTTGCCAATGCTTTTGTTTCTGATTTTGTTTATTTGGATCCTATCTCTTTGCTTCATGGTGAGCCTGGCTAGAGGTTCATCAATCTTGTTGATATTTTCAAAGAACCAGCTTTTGCTTTTATTGATCTTTTATATTATTTTTTTAGTCTCTATATAATTTATTTCTGCTCTGACCTTTATTATTTCCTTCTCCTTTGGGCTTTTTTTTTTTGTTTTGTTTCTAATTCTATACATTGTAGGGTTAGGTAGTTTATTAGAAGTTTTTCTTGCTTTTTTTGTTGTTGTTGTTTTGTTTTGAGGTAGGTCTGTAGTGCTGTGAATTTCCCTCTCAGGGCTGCTTTTAGTGAACCATAGATTTTATGTTGTTGTTTCCAGGATGTTTTTTATTTCTTTTTTGATCTGTTTGGTAACCCATTCATTTGTTTAATAGCATGTTATTCGGTTTCCATGTGCTTGAATGTCTTAGAATGTTTTTATTGTAGTTGATTTCTAATTTCATACCATTGTGATCTTAGAGGATGCTTGATATGATTTCAGTCTTCTTGAACTTCTAGATACCTAATTTGTGTCCTCACATATGGTCTATCTCTTAAAATGTCCCATGTGCACTTGAGAGGAATGCATATTCTATAGCTTTGTGGTAAATTGTTCTGGAAATACAAATTAATTCCATCTGATCTGGTGTGTCATTCAGGATTACTGTTTCCTTGTTGGTTTTTTGTCTAGAAGATCTATTTAGTGATGTCAGGGGCTTGGGGCATTAATGTCCCCTACTATGATTGTATTGCTTTTGATCTCTCCCTTAAAATCCTCCAGAAGGTTGTTTGTTTGTTTTTTAAAAATATATTTGGATGCTTCTGTATTGGGTGCATTAAATACTAGGCTTATATCCT